ATTCATCTTGAAGAGAAGGATATGCCTTGTTTTCAGGTTCCTCAGTAAGGATCTTGAATTGAGTAGTGCACATCTGGATGAGGCTGTCCAGATGCTGTTCTGCTGCTTGAAGATCCTGGAGTTCCTTCATTAATGCTTGATTCTTATTGGTGCCCCCCACAGCAGACCGGTTCCCCCTAGAAAACAGAATAAGACAAGATGAAATACTTTGTGACTAATAACTTGGCAACTCTTAGCATTAAGGCAGATGAGAAGTAAACTGCATTGTGTGTGCTTCCACATCGTCAGAATAGCACAACAGAGGACAGATGAATGCTCAATTAAGTAAATTAGTTATTTTTTAAATGAAAAGTTCAACAAATTACATGGGGAAAATATTCTTGCCCCATAGTATTCTAATCCTATGCCTGCTATAGGATTCCATGTTGTCCCCTATAATCTTTAATATCTATATAAAGCCATTGGGAGAAATAATTCTAGATTTATCATTTATTTATCATCAATAGGCATATGACGTTATGCAGGAGATGTTCTAGGAGAGTAGTGGCTGGATGGAAACCAAAAAAACTGTAACTGAATCCTAAGAAGACTGAAATATTGTTGAGGGGCAGTTCGAGCCTATGAATTAGGAAGACAGGTAGTTCTGGATAATTCTGAGTTCCTTCAAAACAGCAAATGGATTAAGGAATAACTCCAAGCAATGCATTTTGTAACTGAAGACCCAAGTGTCACAGTAATGAAAAGTGTTTAATTTTTTCTGGATCAAGTGATCCTTGTTTTAATAATCTCATGTTTGAATTAATGTAATTCAGTTCCTCAATTATACCAGATTGATCTTTGCAGTGGACCTGCTTAGGGACCTTTCTGTGAAAAATGCCTGGAAATTAGTGAACCAAGCAACAATCCTCTTCCTATTGACCATGCCTAATGAATCTTGAGAGTTTTTATAGTATTTGAGCCCTGGCCTCTATATGCTTATTTCCTGTCTTTAAATTGTTCTGGAACTGGTAGTGTATAATATCACTAGGAAGCTTCAGGAATTTGCCTAAAGTCATTTCTTTCCCATCTTAATTATTCCATTCTCTTCTCATCCACATTTGGTGGTCACCAAGCATGCTCACTTCTCATTTATTAATTAGAATTATATTCTGACTTTTTTTTCAGGATCTCATTATAGTATTCCATTCCTTCTACCAACTTTTCTTCATAACAACAAAACTGGGGTAAGAGATAATGTCCGACCAAAGTAATTCAGTGAGCTTCCATGGCTTATAAGAGTACTCTTTAGTTGTAGTCCAATATTTTAACCATTACATCATATGGTCAGTGACCAGTTTTCTTGGGCATCTGCAAACTTAAAAGTTCCCTGAGTCTGTCAGCACCTCTCTCATCTATAAGCCAAGGTACCAACAGTATGAACACTGTGGAAAAAATAATGTTGTCATTTTCAAGAATGGATTATTGCCATTACAGAGTAGTCCACCAACCCATAAAGCTTCAGTTTTCATGTTTAACAGTATTTATTTCTATCTGATAATAAGCAGCAAATTATACTAAATTCCCAGAACATAAGTTTACAATAAGCAATAATTATATGTTGATGGAAAAACTGATGGGTTAAAATTATTTACACAACTGATCAAATTTTCATATACCATTATTATCTCACTTTTAACTAAACTGAGCACAGATTAATGAACTTTTATTCATGATATTCTCACTGGTCTAATGTTATTAATGTGATTTTTTCCCCTTGCGGTAAATTTCTTTCCTGCAGTATTGCTTTAAGGTAAATTAAAAGACAAATGATAAATGTTCTTTTGAGTATACTTCCAGAAAATGCACAAATGCGCAGAAGTATCTAAGATTATAACAGAGTACTCTTATACACATATACAATACTATGTAATTTTGATTTAGGATAATTCAGATCATCATGTTCTAGTTCTCTTGATTGAAAACAGATATAGGTACCGACATACAAAGAATCTATTTAAGAATCTATTTATAAAATCACATATACCAATAACATAAATGGAAACTGTAACAACTTAATATGTAACTACAAACAGTGCTCTACTTATGAATGGATTACAATATAATGGAGCCAAACCAACATTTATCAGAACTAATTAGAACATCTTCAGAACTAAAAGCTTGGAGATAGACAGGTGACATTCTACTTACAGCCATTGGATATGGTTTTTGGATTTCTTGGTGATGAGCTGGATGCCTTCCAGGACATTCGTTATGTCATAGATACGCCTCTTCTGCACCTTTAGTACTTCAGCAGCCCAGTTGAGATCCACAACACCATCAGGAGATTGACTCAATAGTTCTAAGAAGCGCTTGGTGGTCAAGTTGAGAGAAGTTTCATAGCGGGATTTCTCGCCAGGAGACTTTAAACCTGGGGATGAATCAGGGCTTAATTACAACTAGCAAAGCAGCTACAATTCTTAAATAAATTCCAAACTTAAACCATCAATTTGCTCAGCTTGCATATTCATTTGACAAGAAAGCAAGCAATGTTGTTGGAGATAGGCATCCTCTGGCTCAGAATTTAAGAGTTTCTATCATTCTCTCTGTCTCATCTAGCCTGAAAGCTGCAATGACTACCTTAGAAATAGAAAGAGAGAACGAAACACCACTCACCTTTCCCACACTGACCAAGTATGTTTCCAAGATACATTGTGGGGATATGAAAAATGGATTATACCACCAAAGGAATTGAATCTGGTCAGATGTTTTGGATGGTTGAACATTGTAAACCGTTCGGTTTCCTTGAAGTGTGAGATGGGCAGCATATAAATTTAATAAATAAACAAATAAATAAATGGCAATTGTGGAGTAAGATAGTATCATTTGCCAAACCCAACTGTGAACTGAGATGAGACTTTCGCCACAGCCATGAATTAAATCAAATGCCTGTGTTTCAAGGAAATTAACCTTTTTGTAAAAAATGAAAGCTCAGATTTTTAGGGTGCTACATTTTGAAACCCAAAAAGCAACTTTGCGTAATATATGTCATTTCATAAATAAAAGCCATTTCCCTCATGAATTCAAAAGCATAGAGAGCCCGAAGAAGCATCAATACTCCATGTCCCAGTAGCAGCAGTCATTTCTGAGATTTCACTGGTTCAATTTCAGTGTATCTCAATAATTGTATTGAGAATCTGGCATTATTTAGCCACTAGGACAAGGATTCTTGAAGTAGCTGCAGAAATTAACAATTAACCAGAGGAACAACCTGCCTCCAGAAGCGGTGAATGCTCCAACACTGGAAGTTTTTAAGAAGAGACTGGACAGCCATTTGTCCGAAATGGTGTAGGGTTTCCTGCCTGAGCAGGGGGTTGGACTAGATGACCTCCAAGGTCCCTTCCAAATTATTATTATTATTATTATTATTATTATTATTATTATTATTATTATTATTATTATTATTATTATTATTATTATTATTATTATTATTATTATTATTATTATAAATCACTATTTGCTCCTATGGCAGATCCTCTTTATCTGCATACTGCAGGCACAATAGTGAGCAGATTTTGTTTGGGACTGCCAATAGATTAAAAAAANTTTTTAAGAAGAGACTGGACAGCCATTTGTCTGAAATGGTGTAGGGTTTCCTGCCTGAGCAGGGGGTTGGACTAGATGACCTCCAAGGTCCCTTCCAACTTTATTATTATTATTATTATTATTATTATTATTATTATTATTATTATTATTATTATTATTATTATTATTATTATTATTATTATTATTATTATTATTATTTTAAAGCACCAGAGTTCCCATCTATATACTGGTACCTTTTATAGGATTTTTTGCTTTTCCTCGAGCCACCTGAACGTTCTCTGCAATGTACTGATGGTCAGTCTCCAAATTCAGCTTCCGTTTTACCTGGAAAACAAGTGAGATTTGTAAATAACTGCACCATTTAAACTCTAATGAAACAAGAAGCAATCATGTAAAACTAGGAGCATATCTACACATCTTACTTTTACTGAGCAAGGACTGCCTTTAAATGTAAGCCATTCAGAGTTGCCTGAACTGTGAGATGGGTGACAAATAAATTTGATAAATAAATAAAATTAATAAGATAGATAGATAGATAGATAGATAGATAGATAGATAGATAGATAGATAGATAGATAGATAGATAGATGGATGGATGGATGGATGGATGGATGGATGGATGGATGGATGGATGGATGGATGGATGGAATGAGGAGCACCACACTGCAAAAATATGGGATTAGATAAAATATTTAAAAATGGGTTTGAGGAAAATTAATTATTACATTTGAATTAACTGTTGCATTTTTGATAAATGTATTTAAAATATGTTCATTTCCTCAATTTTAAAAGGGCAAAAATTAGCAGCAACTTTGGTTTTCCAATCTCCAGCTACAAGTTGATCATCTTGCTTGCTGTTCTATCAGTTTCAGATTGAACTTGATGATAAAACTCTGACCAGAATCCCTCCTCTTTTGCTTTGGTGGTTGGATTATAAATTTAGATAACTATCATAACGATTGCCTATGAATATTAACTTATATTATCCAGTCACTTTAATAGCCTCTACAAGGCCAAGAGAGTGGGGGCCATTCCAGGGGTGTATCTAACACATCTGACACCCAGAGCAACTATTTCCACTCATCAAATAGTACCTTGAGTTTCTGGAACTGCTACTGATTCTATCTCTGTCATTGCTGCCACATCACTGACTGCCAAACAGCTGACCAGCACAACGGCAGCAGTGACCAACTCTATACCAGCTGCTATCCTTCTGGATAATCTCCTCTCTTAGCATCCCCTCTTAGCATCTGGGGCAGACCCCCATCTCACTTTAGTTTGCCCCAGGATCATTCTCTTCTTAAGGAAAATGATGTTCCATAGGAGACAAGCTGCCACCAAGAACATCCACCATCAAACCACCTCCCATAGCACATTCTAGTTGGGGAATACACATGGTAGACAATCCCTAGCCATCCAGGTCAGATAAACAGAATTCATAGAGGAAAGGCAATGTCTTAGATAAGCAGGGTGGAAGGCATTTGTGCTTTAAAGCAGGTGTCCCCAACCCAGAGGCCGCAGTCTGCTTGGAACTGGACCACACAAGTGGCAGGCAAAACTACATTTGCACAAGTGCTGGGCATGTGTGTTCACGCACAAAGCTTCATTTGCACAAATAGAGCTTTGTACACTTGCACACATGCATGCCGCTTGTGCAGAACCATCCCCTCTCTCCCCCCCCATGTCGTCACTGCCCCCAGCCCCCGCTGGCCTGCAGAGCTGGAAAGGTTGGGGACTGCTGTTTTAAAGGCAGCAATTAACATTTTGAATTTCCTGGCAATGAGTGCTGCAGGAACGTGACTGGACAGGAAGCAAGCAGGCCATTGCATGCTGGGACAACTGAAGTTTTTAGATGGTCTTAAAATGCATCCCTGTGTAGAGCTAATTAATTGTAGATTAAATCTAATTTGCAAATGATGTAAGCATCACTGTCCTTAGAATATTCAGTCCAAGTGAGGAGACCCACTAATATAGAATGGAGAAAAGTACTTTAACTCTGGAAGAATTCAAGGATATTTTGCAACAATGTACAACTTTCTTTTAAGATTGTCCATTTCTATTAAAAGTGGGTTCAAAAGAGAAGACAAAAAAGAAACAACTCAGAATCAGGCTGCTTTGGATATGGATTTAACATTGACAGGATACAAGAATGACATTGACAAGAATGTTACATAAAGGATTAAAAATGAAAGTAGTTATATTTTAGGAGCTAAAGGGACACATAAATAATAAATCAGAAGAGTGACTTAGATTTCAGTTCAGAAGAGCGATTTGGACACTTTATTTTGAACTTACAAAAGAGATGTGTTATACCTATGAAAGAGTTCCTGAGAAAAGATAAAAGAGAGAATGAAAGGAAACCAATTTCTGGGACACTATTTAAAAGGCATAAACATCAAGATTTTTAAAAATAACAAGATTTAAAAAGTTGGCTCGTTCAGCTAAGATTAAAATGTATATGGTTTTTTTCTAGCAGCTTTTAGTGGATATTTGAACAAGACGGAATGATGAAGCTTTAAAGATGTGACAAAGATAAGATAAAGTTATGGGAAAATATTTTTTTTCTTGTATTGTTAGAGAAAGTTATCGGCTATGGTATTAAAACTGAAGGAAAATGTTAAACTTGTAAAGCAGTTTCTAAAAGGAGGAAGATAAGATAAGAAATGTATCAGTGGCACAATATTTGATGGGATTACATTTCAGTATGTTGGTGTTTCTGGTAGTTCTTAATGAAATCTTTTCTGATTAAGTTTGAATGATAAAGCTTTAAAGATTTTATAGCTAGAAGACATGGGGAGAAGATATTTGTATTTCTAGAAAAGAGAGTAAGTTATTGTGTAAAATGGAAGGAATATAAAAAATTACTTGTTGAAGGTTAATATATATTAAATTTGCTAATATATATATATATATATATATATATATATATATATATATACACATACATACATACATACATACATACATACATACATACATACATACATATATATATATAATATACAGATTTAAATATATAAATTTGCTAAGAGTTAAGGGTAAGATATGGGATGAAGAGATTCTAGGTTGAAATGAGAAGAATGTGATAGGTTACTGAAATTCTTTGTACTTACATTGATGAGGGGGAAAAGTCTTTTGTTTTTATATGTTTGTCTTCCTTTCCCCCCTTTTTTCCTCTCTGCACTTTTTTCTGTACTTTTCTTATTTGTTTGTATTAGTTTCTTATCTTTGTACTTTTAAACTGCATTGGTGATTACTACTGAAGCTAAGGCTGCAATTGGCACACCAGCTGAAGAAGCTGGACAAAGGGCTCCCCTGGCTCTACCTCAGTGTTTCTCAACCTTGACAATTTTAAGGCATATGGACTTCAACTCCCAGAATTCCATTGCTGGCTGTGGAATTCTGGGAGTTGAAGTCCACATGCCTTAAAATTGTCAAGGTTGAGAAACACTGCGTCTACCTGTTCCTTGAGCAAGAGCCAGGATTCCGGGAGGCTCTTGGGAGTGTGAACCTGCTCTTTCTGAGGAAGCACAGCAAGAGTTGCAGATGCTTTGTAAAACACAGTTCCTGGCTTGTTTCAATGCATTACATCTCAATTAATGGAAGTTTTCTCAATGAAAATAACAGCCTAGGATATAATCACCTTATTCTTTCCTGTTAACTTTTCAGTTTCCATAATTACTATATTGTTGCAAGATACTTTTATGTTTTCCTATGACAATTACAAGAAATTACTAGCTAACATAATTAGACATGGATAATCTTTAATAGGTATGTACCAAGATAGGGGGGGAAAGGGAAATCCTTGATCCAGGTAATAGAGGAAAGGAGAAGACGGACCCAAGGCTGGGACAATTCAGGAAAGCAACAAATTGTTGATAAACTGGTATATTGAAATTAAATGGAGTTTGATGCCTATAGACACAAATTATCTGTCTACACTTCCAAACTCTCTTATTTTTTCTTGCTTATAGAGTTTCCCATAAAGGTCTCTTGAATGATTCTTCTGAATCATTCAACTAGGTAAGTACATTATAAGCCAGTATCTGCAATAACCACAACACATGGCCAACAGAGCAATCACCAGCTGGAGATACTGTTCTCTAAAGACATCTTTGCTTCTATAGAAAAGCAAATCTCTTTAATACATACTCACTGTATAGAAGAGGTAGGTATATTTAACAAGCCTGCCAGATAATAATATTTTTAAAATATAGCCTGATCATCACAGTATAGTACAGACAGCGTGTGTTATGGAAATTTTGTATTTCTATTTCTGTTACATTTTGTTATACTGTTTGTTAGTCTTGCTTCTGTAACTTTAAGAATAAACTTCTCTTTTCATTGTTCCCTTGCTTTATTCATGGCCACCCATGGTTTTAGAAAAGAACAATCTAATTTCTTATTTTCTTCCTTTTTGTTCTTTTGCCCTTGAATTTCCCTCTCTGCATCCTCAATTTCATTGGATCATTCCTTGCCATTTAAGACACACTGAAGAGATCAGGTCTCTCAGATGGAGCTCAGCTAAGATTGGCCTCATTGTTTGAATTTCTTCCTATTCAGTTCTCAAAGCTTGCTAAGTGTCTATGAACTTAACAGTGAGTAAGCACTGGGAATATGCATTATTCTTTTTTACTGCTGACTTAGTCTCTTGACCAATGACACCAATCAAAATGTTCAATCTAGGAACACTGCTATTGTTCTATACTTTCTTCTCTTTTGTTTGCATTGTCCTACTGTCTTAAAGACATTATCTGGGCACATGAAATGTATTTAAAGCTTATATTAAAATGAAGTAAGATGATGAAGATAAAGTGCCTACTCTTAATTTCAGAATTTTAAAGTAGTGTCATTGTCTTTTGCCCTATCTTCATATCCCAACCATCATTTGTTTCTATTTTTAAAGATATTCTTTAAAAAGATGGACATGAGATGTTTAAAATCAACAAGTTGGAAATTGAAGTAGTTTGAAAATTTATCTTCCTTGGATCAAAAATTGTTCAAGATGACAGTCCTATACCTGAAATCAAATGTAGGATAACCTTAGGCCACATGGCAATGGTTAACATGAAACACAGATCTGGAAAAGCAGAGACAGTGATACACAGTAAATACAAAAAGGAGGCTAGTTAAAGCAATAGTCTTTCCTATTATGATGTATGGGTGTGAGAGTTAGACACCAAGAATGGCTGATTGAAGAATTGATGCCTCTGAACTGTGATGCTGGCATAAATTATTGTGTTTACCATGGAAAACCAGAACTACCAACTGAGAGGTGCTAAATCGCATAGAACTAGACATCTCACTAGAAGCCAAAATCACAA